GTGACGTAGGTATGTGGGGGCGTGTTAGAACGAGCCGTTTTAGGTAGGTGTGGTTGACTCTTAACTTTTATAAAGAATATCTCTTTGGATTTGAGACTTTAGTCTTTGCAACTTTACAGATCTTCTTTATGCACCAAGAGCTTGTAACACTCCAAAGAGAAAGGAAAACTTGAAATCTCATCATATGACCCCCTTAATAAAAAATCAAGTATTTACATAGACCAATTATAAATCAGTAGTTACAGAATTACGCAATAATGAAAAAAAAAGAAAAACAACAGTGTAATTGGACTATTGCAAAGACTAATATTTTGCTTCCTCTCGTCAAGGGGATGTTATCGCAACATGTTGTTTTTCCCATGGGATAAAGCTAAGGGTTTTGAGCTGGCATGTGTGAAATTGTTTGTGCAGGGGCTAAAAAAGTGGACCTGCTGCACAGTACAGTTGGGAAATTTCCCATACTGCCTCAGGACTGAATGCTGTGGTTGAAAAATCATCACATCTTACTGTTTGCTCTTAATTTCTCTTCTTTGCCGCTGCAGTACTCTACAAAAAAAAATCATAATTAGTCTTGTTTTCTGGTCGAAATATGCACTTAAGTAAGCATAGTCTGCATACAATATTAAGAATTGTTTCAGTTATATATATTGAATTAAGATTTAATTTTTGTGTTGGCCTTTTCTCAAGCACAAATCTAGTCGCTAGTAGCTAGCTAGATTTATGGCTAAAATAACAACAAAAAAGCAATAAGTTAAAAAGACATTCAAAATATACTGTCTTAATGATTAGATGTGTCAGTATTTAAATTTTAAATTAGACAGAAACAATTAAATATTGACTCCTAAAAATATCCAGTATCGGCCACTACTGAAACTGAATTTAAAAACTGATATTGTCCTGTAACCGATATAGTGCTGATATGCCATGCATCCCTGACATCCCCTGTCATATTTTCTGACACAAAAATACATTTTTGCATTGTGCCACAAATGAAAATTCTGTCATCATTTACTCACCTTCATGTTGTTCCAAACCTGTGAGTTTCTTTCTTCTATTGTACACAAAAGAAGATATTTTGAAGAATGTTGGTAACCTCCATAGTATAGAAAGAATTCTATGGAATTGCTACCAAAAACTGTTTGGTCACCTGTGTTCTTCAAAATATCTTCTTTTGTGTTTAAAAGTTTGTTTATTATGTGCAAGTTCAAGCTTTTGTGTCACTTTTGCCTTTTTATTCCACATTTCTGTTTGTATCACGTCAGTGAGTTAAAACAGGAACAGGCCGGATCACATTTAGTTTAATGGGAACATTCCCCAATTCTTCTTGAATTAACATTATCATGCCGAATGTGAATATTTAGCAAAATATTTTGAACTCTTCAAAAGTAAAAGTGTCAGTTTAAAAAATGTAAAACCCTCAGCCTCACTGCTCTCCAAGAATGTGACCAAAAACATTACAGCCAGCCAGTGAAGCATCCTTGTTTTTTTTTTGTTTTTTTTGTAGTATGCTCCAGTTAAAAGCAAGATGGTGAATGTAACCATGACTCCACCAGCTATTGTGCTTCCAAGACAAGTCAGCAAGCAAGAGCCCTGTCCTCTGGAGAAAGCAAGGTATTCATGTCAAGAGCCATTAAAAGATTACCAAAAATCTTTATTGTCCAATCTTTAAACAGCAGTTTTAATACTTCAGACAGTGTAAAATCTCATAAAGAGTCACTGTTTGTACTTAAGCTGAATATAAACCTGCTCGGTTATGTTGAGAATGTGTTGGTTTAATGTTGGTTTAATGTTTTGTTTTAATCTGTGTCAAACCACACAGCCCTAGGCCTCGTCTCTCCCGAAACTCTGCATCTTCATGTCCCATCACCGCAGTGGGTACGTTCAACTACACACTCCAATGTGAAAATTTACTGCTTTAGATATTTATTTAGTATTTAGAGACATTTGTTTTCAAATGGCATATTATAAGATAAAATGTTTGTAACTTTATGTGTTTACATTTGGTTAAAGCATTAAAGTAATGCATTATGGACAGCTGCAGTAGGATAGCTTAAAGTCGTTTCCACTTTGATTTCTGTTTACTTTCTTCCTACGAGTTGGCGAGTTGGTGTGTGTTACAGCTGTGTTTAGGTTGTGTGTGTGTATTTGTGTTTGAGATGATGATGGACACGTGATAGACCTGGTGAAGGATCAGCTTCCTGAGCTGCAGTTATCTGAAGAGGATCGTCAGAAGAATCTGGAGCTGCTCGAGGAGGCCAAGAAAGTCAGCGATCGCTTCCTGCAGCGCAGAGGCCGACGCTCCACCTGTAGTCTCAGTGAATCTCCAACAGGTACAACAGAAACATGATTACTTTCCCGTCTAGGACAGTGTTTCTCAACCGGGGGCCGTAGGGGGGCCTTTTTTTTAACTTAATTGATTTAAACAAACAAACAAACAAAAAAACGTAATTTACACATAAAAAAGTCATTTACACTTGAATATGTTATTTATTTATTTGTTTGTTTGTTTATTTCCTTATTTATTTATGATTCAATTAAGGTAATTTCATGTAATAAAATATTCTAACTTAATTAAAAGGTATAAAATATTCCAACTTAATTAAAATGCCTAATATAATGGGGAAAAAATGTAAACTACACGCACATATTTTAACATACAAACACACACACACACACATATATATATTTATATATATATATGAAGAGTTTGGTTCCAAAACACGATAAACGCAATTTTTAAAAAAATTGAGTTTCCGCCAAAATCAGTATTGTATCTGGTCGGTATTGAAAAGTCCATTTTTAATTTTACACAAAATGCGATATCCACCGAGTTATTCTGTCATGTTTTCTCCCTTTTTTTCCAAACCGCGACAAACGCCAGTCTCCCCTTTCTGCAGAATGCGATATATCCGCTCAACCAATCACAGCGCACCATTCCAC